TTCCATTTGAAATTAAGTATATTCTTATTAATACCCCTTAAAAATGAAAAGAGTTTTTTCCTCAACTAAGGCTCTCATTAATATTATTTACTAAATTAGAGTAGTTTTAAACTTAATTCCATAAAAAAAAAAAGGTATTTTGAACATATGGACTCCATATCAGACAAAAAATAAAAATGTTTAATTAATTATAGTTTTACCAACAATTCAATTGAAGAGATGGGATTCGAAGCTTATCTCTGTTCATAAAGCTCTAAGAATCAAAGTAAGGTGAGATTAAAAATTTATCTTTATTTAGAATGAAAATCAAGAAAGATGGAGCATTGAAATCCAATTGCTTATAATGATTTCATATTTTCATTGTCATCAAAAAAGATGAGGAGAATCATTCAAACAATCTTGCCGAGCACTTTTGTATGTGCACATTTTGGCAATATTTATGCCATTTATCAATCTTTAAACTTTTGTGATTAAAAGCATCATCAAGTTTGTCGAAACGGAAGGCAGAGACAGAGTTTGCGACTCTTTCTTCCATCCTTTTCCCAAAGAGAAAAGAGGTTCAAAATGGAAGAGGATTGGACCCATGTCTAAGTTTAACTCATGCTTTTTGGCTGACCAAGATTTCAACATAAATCTAGCATCCCCCGCCATAGCTGTCCAATCCCTTACTCTTAATAAAAAAACATCCCGAAGAAGGAAAGAACATCCTGTCATCAGCTCCCCTGGAATCTTGGCATCAATTAAAGAGATGTTGGTTTCTAAGCTTTAAAGAGATGTGGGTTTTTATGGTTCAAGCAAGCATTCTGTGCATTGTGCGCATTGTGCAATTCAGATCATTTCGGTTAACAGGTTTTGAGATCTATTTTACCATAGAATATTTACCAAATTGAACAGACATGAATTTCTGAGTCAAGACATGCACTTTTGATTATTTTTTTTTTTTCACTTTACTTTCTCAATATTTTGTTTATTGAAACTACTAATTTATTCCTAACCGTGTCATTTTTGCTGGGAGAAGAAAAAAGTGAAAAAGATATGAAGATGGTCAAAGACTGGACTTCCATGGAGTTAGAGAAGGGGAGGAGGAGGAAAAAGAGTGACATGGAATTATTTTGCTCACGTGGAATTTAGTTGTACAACACTATAGGCTTTTGGAAATAAAGTTTAAAAGCACCCCATTTAAGGAAATAAGATTACAAAATACCTTTGTTTAGGAAAAAACTCTAAAATTGAAAGGCCATAAGGATCAAAATTTAGAAAATTATATCAAATGCTAACAACAAATACAAGCATTTCAAAAAAAGGGGAGGGAATTAAGGGTTACCTTTGATTGATGATGAAATTAAGGTTTAATTACGAGAGATCTAATGATGGTAAGAAGATTTTTATGGATCTGCTGATTTTCACGAAACTAAGAAACAAGAAAAGGACAAAATTGCAGGCAGTTTACCGTTACACGGTTTGTGCCAAGGGTATGCATCAAAACGCACCGTCGTGACGACGTTTTGGTTAAAACGTTCCTGTTTTGGCTTTTACTTTACCCATGTGCTTGATTTTTCTTTGTTCTTCTTTTTTGAGTATGTTTATTTGTTTGCTTTAAAAAAAAAAATACAGTATTTAGATTAAAAAATTAGGGCCCTTTCAGTTTAGAATATGTTTTCCATTCCCATTTTTAACTAAATTTTAAAATTTGAAAACTTAAAATCTCATATGGAGTTCGTTTTCGATATATTAATAGTAAATTTTTAATTTTATAACAAAAAATAATTTTATAAAATCTCATTTGTTTTATTTTTTTAATTTTTTTAATATATACGTCATCTTATCAATCCCATTAATGAATTTTAAAAATTTTAAAGATATTTTTTTAAAATAAAGATTGTAATTTCTAAAAAATATATAAAAAAATTTGTTGCCATTAATTCATTTAAGGTAAATAATGTAAAGAGATGGAAAATTGAAGATATTTCAAAAAAAAAAAACACTAAATAAAAATCTTTTTATTAATAATACTAGTGCGGATACTCCGCTTAGCTTGGTTTGTTACAATATTATTTAGTATTTTTATTAAATTAGATTTTGATAGAATTAAAATTAATAAAGTTAAAAAATAAGAACTTAAAATTTTTTAAAGAAATATAAACAGTTAATATAAACTATTCATTCAGAATCAAACCAATGAGAACCAAAAAATAAATTCATTTCAGTTGCCTGCATTCACAATGGTGGGACCAGAAAAGTAATTGAACTCCTCAAAAATTGGTTTCTGCATTGTTGAAGCAGAATCAAGTGTGTGCATCTTTTGAGTCATCAATGAATTGGACATAGAGATGCTTCTAAAGAAAAGTAATTATGTCCAAGTCATTGTAAAGAACAAAATTGTAGCAACCTTGATGAGCACACACAAAGCCCTTCACGAGCACATGACAATATAGGCTTAACCTTTGAACAACTTGCCCTTTTGCTAAAACCCCCAGCTGTTATTCTAGTGTTTGCTAATTCACTACTACCTTCAAGATGCGGCAGTCCAACTATTTTTGGGTTCTCAATGGTAAGGATCATTGCAGTTTTGATATTATTTGTTGAATAAAAAATTTTAATCTAATCACATTAATAGAAGTGAAATAAATAATAAATCAAACACATAAAAAATAATAATTTAACGTGATTCAATTTAATTGACCTACATCTACGAATAAAAAATAAGATCTATTAGTTGTAAAAAATTATAAACATATATCAAAATATATCAACCATTGAATAATCAATACTCATAAACCCTCTTAATCTGTCTTATAAAATATTCTCAACCTAAATAAACACATACTTACGTGTACTCTTTCAACCAACGAACACATACCCATATATACCTATACATCATACTTATGTAGATCTTCTCAATTTCATTTAGTTCACTCATAAATAAATATACATACCTACATATATACCTATACATCATACTTATATTATAAGGTGTCTATCTCATAAAATCCTATAACTTTTTTACATATTTTTCTCATATCTAATCCTATAGAGATTTCATCTATTTATAATCATATAAACTTACCTATAAAGAATCTATTTCCTTTTAGAATTCTTATTCTATAAGTCAAATTTACCTATTAAGAATTCATTTTCTTTTAAATTATTCTTCTGTAAGTTAAACTTGCCTATTAAGAATTCATTTCCTCTTATAATTATTCTTTTGCAAGTCAAACTTGCCTATTAAGAATCTTCGTTCTCTTAGAATTTTTCTTTTACAAGTCTTCTTGTTCATCAAGCAATATCTAATCAATCCCAAATAAATCTTTTATGGGATTTGAGTTATTATTCATAATAATCTCTACATTGACTCAAGTTTCATCAATCATCAATCTTCAAGCTAGACATACTTGGCTTCCACCTGTAATGAAAGTCTTATAATCATTTTCTTTTATGTGTCTTCATGCTTCACGCAAACTGATCCTCAAAACACGAACTCGAACTTTTTCCTTGAATTAAATTTCTCTAAGTTTACCTCTTCTCATGTCTTAAATCATATTCTTTCCACATCTTGAACCTTCAGCTCTTACCACTTATTGAAAAATCAACACGCACACATAGTACCTACACATAAAATAATAAGCTCAAATCAAAATTAAAAGCATATAAATATATTTATTTCGGTCTAACTCAAAATGAGCTACCCCAAATCAAATCTATTAACAAATAAATCTTTACAACTGTTAGATTCTTAAAATGAGAAAAATCTTTAAAAACTCCTTATTCAAAACTTAATCCAAAATTTAATTATATTTTTTTAATAACCTATTCACTTAACTATTCTTTTGATGTCTAATTATCTAGGATTATCAAACTAAAATTAAAACATCTTATTTATAAAGATGAAATCCTTTATATTTTTACTAAAATTTTGATATAAGATACAAAATAAATTTAAAATTTTTATAATTATCAATATAAAATTATGAGGTTCAAAATAAATTACAATACTCCGAAGCTTCAACTGCATTTTCAACAAACAACATTGCTTATAAGATTATTAGAATAAACGATCTTTGCAAACGCGTTGCGGCAGCTTTATCAACACCAAAATAATTAAAGAAATCCTCTAATATTAGTCTCGGAGATTTCGACTCCACCAATCTTCTTAGAATATCAAAAGGTTGATTGAAAGCCACTTTTATAATGCCCATGGTACTAAAAATACAATTATCCTCCTTAGCAATATATGCTGGGTTGAAAGGTCAGATCTATTTCATAGCTTTCCCCAGGCCTTTTCAGAAGATTCTGCTAGGTTGTCAAATCTGCAAATTTCAAGCTAGAAATATATTGATAACACTGTGGCTGTTTTTTCTGATGAAGGATGAACATTTGCCACAAAGAGCATTCGGCCTTTAATAGTCAAGGAAGAAATAGATTCTTTTAAGGCTCAGGAACTTCTCGCACTTGCTCCTAGACTACCTGACTGAAATGACTTTGAGGTTGCGTTCTTACATACAATGAGAAGAGAAGACATGGTGGTGACGAATAAAAAATGACAACAATTCTAGCAAAATAGTATGTCGTTTCTACTTTTAGTAAGTTGTCAAATGTAAACCATCTATAACATTTATAAAATAGCAACAGAAAAATACTAAGGCATTTGATTCGAAGAAATTTATGTTTTTTTTCTTAATTTTATTAATTAATATTTAATTTTAGCGTTTAATTCAAAATAAAAATTATTTTCATTTATAAAAAGAAACAATCATGTATCAATTGAGATGTTAACAATTGTTCTAAAAGATTAAAAACTCAAAATAATCACAACATGACTCTTCAAACCACAATTCAATTAAAAAATCTAACACGTGTCAATAAAAAATTATTAAAAAGAACAGGTGTCGAGCAAAGGATCCTTGGATCCTTTTAATCTAAAGTATTGATAATTTAACATAAAAGAAAAAGCAACAGCCCAATTGTCATGAGCCCAATTTCATACTCAGAACCAGTAGCGAAAACGAAAAGTTGGGCTGACGGAGGCCCAGACGATTTAAACTACCACTACTCCATCGTTTCTCCATTTCAAGCTTTGTTTCCCAATCACACACCGACCTGGGAACTCCCGACTCACTGCAAACTCACCGATCAAAACTTTTCCAAAAGAAAAGCTGAAAGATGGGAAGTCTAGGGAAAGCCATATACGCCGTCGGATTTTGGATTCGCGAGACTGGCCAAGCCCTCGATCGCCTCGGGTGTCGCCTCCAAGGCAACTACTTATTTCAAGAGCAACGTGAGTTTTATCCATTTCTTCGCTTCTTTTCTTTTCCCTCTTCAACCTATATTCTTGAGCTTTTCCCTCTGCTAATGCTAAATCAAATAAGGATTGAATGTGCAGTGATTTTCAGCAGATTCCATACCAAATAATTTGTATTTTTTTTCATTTCATAGCTATCACCTATAATTTTCTTTTATATTGTTCTTGAACTATTAGCTTACTACGTATAAAACATGAAGTCTAGTTATGGAGGATAAAATTAGGGTTTTTCCTTTAGCTAATTTCACTGGTTAATTGGTTGTTTACTTCTCTAATTTATGTGGAAATGCGGCTGCATTTTTCTTTTATTTGTTATCATTGCGTCTCGTGTTCGAATATTGGATTTTGTTTATGTTGCTTTAGCTTGCTTTCCGATATTGAGCTATGCATCTATCGAATTCTTGTTTTCTTAGTTTCTAGGCATCGGGCTCTGATGAACATATTTGATAAAGAACCTGTGGTTGACAAGGATGCATTTGTGGCCCCCAGCGCCTCTGTCATTGGTGATGTTCGGGTGGGAAGAGGATCATCTATTTGGTATGGATGTGTTTTAAGGGGTAAGATCCTCGCTTATACACACAATTTGGTGTTTCAGTTTGATTACTAAATTGTATGGGTCTAAACTAAATTGTGTTTTATTTTCTCTTGATGATGTAAGATATTGTCTTCCTGATATGCATTATTAATTCCTTAACTTTTTAGCTTTTCCTAAACAATGTATTGATTCACACAAGCAGGATGCTTCTAATTTGCACCTTATCCTTCACCTGATTCTTTTCATACCCAACTCCATTTGTTTCTCAAAACGTAAGAACACCCAAACTACATAAGATAGAAAACTTATTCTGCTGCAGAACAGGCCCACTGTTACTAGTATTTAATTCTTCTTAACTATAAAGTGAAACAGTTTATTTATATTATGATGATAGGATATTTGGATTCTACTTTACAGGTTTTTCATATGATTATTATTCTTGCCTCGTACATGAAGAAATGTCCTGTAGGTTTAATGCCTGCAGCCCTGTACCATATGCATGACTGAGGCCTCATTATTCCATTAAGAAATTTGAAAATTGATTTGAATGCATGCCTAGGCCTCATACCGCATAGCAAAGCCCTATTTTGTACAATGCAGGGTTAGGGCATCTCTCCTAAACAATTCATAGAAAAATTCCCCTTTTTTGTGATACTGTTTAATGCATAGGAGTATATTTTGATATTCAGTACCATATTTGAGGAGAAAGGTTTCTCAGATCAGCCTCCTACCCCCGGTATCATTCAACCACTGTGTACAGCAAGCTATAATTTTCTGTCCAATCTGAATTTGTTCAACTAGATTAAATTGTAGTTGTGTAGGTTTGGGCTATTTGACATTATATTTTGCTAGATTTGCTGATAATCATCCAAGTTTTTCCCTGAACAGGGGATGTCAACAGCATTAGTGTTGGATCTGGAACTAATATACAAGACAACTCCCTTGTGCATGTGGCAAAGTCTAATCTAAGTGGAAAAGTGCTACCAACCATAATTGGGGACAATGTTACTGTTGGTGAGTAAAATGGCGTCCGCCATAAATTTCATGTGAAATAAAAAGTTCCTTTAGCCATAGTCTATTATTGAAACTTTTGAAACGAACAGGTCATAGTGCTGTTTTACATGGCTGTACTGTTGAGGATGAGGCATTTGTCGGCATGGGAGCAACACTTCTTGATGGTGTAGTTGTGGAGAAACATGGTATGGTTGCTGCTGGAGCCCTTGTCAGACAAAATACAAGGATCCCTACTGGGGAGGTAGTGTAAACTCTATTTCTTGGACTTTTCTCTTATGGCCATATTCTGGAACATCTTTGATGAACTTATTAATTTTTCTGTTTGTCAAAGACAGTTTCATTTCCTATGCTATCATGTATGAATAAGAAAAATAAACTGGACACATGTATTAGAAGTTTGAAAACATAAAAAGAAATTGAAAATATATACTTAAATTCAGACAACATAAAGATAAAATAGGTGTGATGTTTCTTGTTGGTGACTAATATAATATATGATTTCTACTGCTTTCATTAATATTTTGAGCCATAAGGTGCTGAAAAAAGTACTTAAAATTTTTACTTAAGATGATGCCTATGTTCAATCATTATTGGTTTTTAACAGGTGTGGGGAGGCAATCCTGCAAAGTTCCTGAGGAAGCTAACTGATGAAGAGAGATCATTTATTTCTCAATCAGCCACCAATTATACCAACCTTGCACAGGTACATGCAGCTGAGAATGCAAAGCCCTTCGACGAAATTGAATTTGAGAAAGTTCTCCGCAAGAAGTTTGCTCGTAGGGATGAAGAGAATGACTCAATGCTGGGCGTGGTACGTGAAACTCCCCCACAACTAATTCTTCCAGATAATGTCCTACCAGATAAAGAACGGAAGTCTTCTCAAAAATAAAACTTTTTCACAAGTTTTTTCTTGTTTGCTTCATTCAAGCCTTGAGATTTGGAATCAAGGAATATTTGTTGTTTAGTGAAATTACATGGCAGAGGGATGATTTTCTTTCCCAATAATTCGGAACATGATTTTCTTCCCCTTTTAGCTTTAAGCTCTACTCTTTGTAGGTTACTCTGAGACTCGTTTCATAACCGGAGGAATCTATTTTAATGTCTAATGCTCCTTGTACCTAAGATGCTTAATTTTCTTGATGATTGTGATTTTGTACTCATACAAGTCATTCTTGACCCTGTACGATATAGCAAATACCATAGCTGGTTGGAAGTTGGTGTAGCAATTTCCATTACATGATCAGGAGGAAATGAAGAAGCCAGGGAGTTGGAAATTCTGGTTTCAGTAAGACATGGCGAAGATTTGAATCTATTTAAAGTCTAGTTTCAATTGGGCGACCAAGGAATTGAATACGTTTTAAGTTCAGCTCGCAAAAGTACCTACCATAAGTCGTTTCATGTTTGTGGGTATCTTTGTGCCCTTGATGCAAAATTTGAGTGAGTCACAAATCCTCATCTTCGCCCACTCCACCTTGGCGTTCCAAGAGACTTGCATCAAATTTCATTATTCGAAGTAGTGTAGTATCTTGAGTATAAATGTAAATGTAGTTTTAAGTTTCAGCTCAGGCTAGCATTCCATGTTTGCACCAAGGGAAAATGTAATTTGCATAAACAATCAGGAAATATCCAACACAATAATGTCTACCAGTGCCCAACTCAAATCAGCAAACACATGCTAGAAAACCTCATCTAAAGACGAGGGTGGCACGCAGGTTCTCACATTCTCAAATATCCATTGGTGCCACTCCTTCGTCAGCAGCAGCACCCTGCTCAGATGCAGCCTCCTGACCTGCGGCAGCATCAGGGTCGGTGGCAGGAACTTCTTGCTCTCCCGCAATCTCAAAGGCATCGATCATTTGTTGTACAGTTCCCTGATCCAAAATATGGAATGGCTCCCCAACCCCTACCACAGCAACTGTACATATTGAGCTTTTTAGAGCTTCTCCTTGAAGGGTCTCCCTTATTGCCATAAGAGCATCTTTGACCAAATCATCCCGAGGGGAGTCCACAAAGTTCTCAAACCTGCGTTCCAAGTATGTCTTTGCAGCTTGTGAGCGGGATCCAATGGCAAAAGCCTGGTACTCAAAGTAATTTCCACTTGGGCAGTTGTAGTAGAGATGAGCCCCAGATTCATCCAAGCCAGCCACCAACAGGCCAACACCATAAGGTCGTTTCCAAGAGCGTTGGGTGCAGACCTGCCACCAAACACAAGCATTTTCCCTATTTACTTACAGTTTCCACATTACTTGATCTATCAAGGTTTCCTACACTAGCCTTAAATGTGATCTAATTTTCATTGAGAACAGTATTCTTGTCAAGTCAATAACCATTTTTCTCTTCAATTTTGCAGTTTTATTATTTTAAAGCAATAGCCGCAGCCTTCATACTAGTCAAGACTACAATAGAGACAATTAGGGTTTAAAAGCATAAACAGTTTCCCATTTCTCCAAAAAACCCAAAAATTAACATCACCCATCAGTTCAACTACACTAAAGAAAAAGCTCAATTGTTCTTTTTTTTTTTAGAAAAAGTTTAAAGATTGGAGATTTTAAGAACTGAAAAAGACCTGGGCTTTATCGGCGAGTTGGACGACGAGTCGGCCCACAGGAAGAGGCGACTCGTACGTGAAGCTGTAGTTGATGCACTCATTTCGCATATACCTAGAGAGGACGCGGCCGTCTGCGGTAAGACCGGAGATGGCGACGCCAATGTGGTCGTCAACTTTGAAGATCTTCTTCTGGTGAGAAGACAACTCGGAGTTAGCCTTGTTGACGCAACCCAAGACCACATGGGTCTTGGATCTAAGCCCGATCGCCGCCGAACCCTGCTTCACGGCCTCCATCGCGTATTCAACTTGGAACAACCGCCCCGCTGGGCTCCATGTAGTCACGTCTGTATCGTACTGGTTCCTGAACATTTTCCTCTACGTCACCGTTCCGATTGCGAGCTTTCCTCCACTGAAAAACTTGCTTTTCCTCTCTCTCTGACTCTCTCTGGACTGTATTTGAAGACGGCTTTTCCTCTTTTCTTCTTCTTCAAGACAGAGAGAACGGATCACCCAAGAAGAAAGGATGTCCCCTTCATGGTGCGGTTCTGCCCCGATAAATCTGACTTGGGTCACTCAACTAGTAAATGGGCATTTAGATAATGGCCTGTCAGGCTTGATCTTTGGATCGCACGATAAGTAAATGGCCCGATGAAGCTGTAATATTGGGGAGGGATGTGGGGCGATGGCCTGAAATCATGGGCCATATTAAATTCTAATATTTGATAATTTAAACCAGAATTAAAAGTGTAAATGCCCTTACACCCATGAAACAAGCTAGAAACTCGTCTCACAAAAGATTGAGTTTGTATCTAAGCTGAAAACGGAATTTCTGAAGTAACATGCCAGAATTGGTTTTCATTTAAACATTGAAGCACTAGCCTTAAAGAATGCAAAATTGGCATGCAATCATAACCCAAGTAGATTAAGCATTATAGCATTCTGTGCATGCATGCGATTTTCTGCTTGTGGCAAGACAATGGAGTTTGGAGCCTCAATAACACCGTCAGTCAGTTCTACTCCTCTTTCAGCAGGCAAACAATGCATGAAATAAGCTTTGGGGCCTGCTATCTTCATAAGAGCTTCATTCACCTGCATTCGGTATGCAAATCAATCAGAACATACATATGATTGAGAATTGACCAACGAGACAAGAAATTTAGTGAGAAGCAAAATAATTCCATGGAGATTGGAAATGACATGTAACACAGCACATCAGATTTCAATGCTGAAGGTTGCTCCACTCTAGATTTAAACTATCAATAGATAAAAAAAAATGATTGACTATGAGAAGCAGCATGTTAACACTATGAAAACTGTATGTATAATACATAAATCTAATTAAATTCACACAAAGAGATCAATTATAATTCAGGCAGAGAAATTCTCGTTATAAATTTTTGAATAAAACATTATGGCTGGAAGAGGAAAGAGAAAAAAATCAAGGATCTGAATTGTCCAATTAGAGATGGCATAGTTAAACCCAATATTTGCATCAATCAGGACTAGCAGCATGAACTAAATGAGTTTCCCTATCACTCAATGTTAATATCAATATATTGAAAGAAGTATGCTTGCATCATACCTGAAATCCTTGAAACACTTGGCGACGATAAGCAGCCTCTTCCTTTTGCCCCATGCTAGCCCACACATCTGAATATACAACATCAGCATCTTTGACTGCTTCCTTTGGATCATTTGTAATCTCAATCTTGCTGATCCCAGCTTGTTGTACCTTCTCAACAGTCTCTTTGTCAGGCTCAAAACCTTTAGGGCAGACGCAGACAAAGTGGAAGGGCACAACTGCAGCCAGCAACAGCCAAGAGTGCACAATATTGCTTCCATCCCCGACATAGACAACCTGAAATTTGCATTCACATAAAACCAAGTTAACCATACAACCAGATATTAGATCCACAATATAGAAACTAGCAAACAAGGTGAAATAACAAGAAAAGACACCTTTGTTCCTTCCAACTGGCCAATGTCTTCAATAATTGTGAGCGCATCTGCTATTATTTGACAAGGGTGGTTGTAATCTTGTCAAGCCATTAACGACAGGTACAGTAGCAAATTTAGCCAAATCAAGAATGTCCTGCAAGAGAACAGATAAACAAGTTGCATCTTTAAGCACAAATTTTACAAAAATTAAATAATTCACGGTAAAAGATGCTTCAAATATGAAATATGAACTTTAAAGCAATCCTCTGCTCTCAAATATGGCATTCAAATAACACAACCCTTAGATATAATTACTTGAAAAAAAACTCACCATCACACCTGATGAGCAAAGACACGCGCCATAATGATGTCATTATAGCGAGATAAAACACGAGCAACATCACGAGTTTCCTCGCTCTTACCCATCTGGGTATCATTCGGTCCCAAACATAGAGCATGACCTCCGAACAAGTAAAAACCAGTCTCAAATTAAACCCGTGTCCTCATCGATGGCTTTGCAAAAATCATTGCCATAGTCTTCCCCTTAAATGGAACAAAGGGCCTATCTCCTGATTTTAGCAATGCCTTGACCTCTGCAGCCCTGACTAATATCTTCATTATTGTGGCTTTATCAAAGTCACTAATATGCAAAAAATCCCTCAATTTTCCTTTTGCTGCACAACAACAAACAAAAATGAAGAAAAGTACAATAAACTATGTAAATTCTAAGCAATTTGCGTATTCATTGCTATTATTTATCTAATGAACATTGTTATTATTAGGCAATAATTGAAGCAACATGCAAACCCCAATTCCAAGCGCAATCACCAAATTAACTTCACAATCGAATTGTGAGAAACTGCACATCCAATATCGAAACAAATATAAATTAGTCAAAAGACTGAAAGAGAAAACAAAAAGAGAACCTGTCCAATTGACGGAAAAAGAAGGTAGTGACGTGGCGAAGGAGGCCTGGCAAGAGATATAGTTTCGGCGGATAGACGGAGGAGAAGCGAAGGAAATGCGAGAAAATCGGAGAGCTCCGCCAGAGAAGGAAGAGGAGGAGGAGGGGGTGGAAGAGAGAGGGAATTTGTGTGATCGGAATGTGCAGTGGCCGGCTATTGGCGCCATGGTTTTTGGTGGGAAGGAGAAACCGTTAAAATGTTAAAACGCAGTTGTAGAGGCAGGGTTGGCGCAAAGCCCAAAGAGCTGCTCAATTTAAACAGCTCATTGAAAAAAAAAATTGGCGATAATGGGCCGGCCCTTAATGGTCCTACACCTCAAATGGGTTTTGCCTGGACAAGTCCTGGCCCCACCATATGTATAAATGTAAATATTATATATTATTTATTATTAAACAAACCGAAAATAATTTTTAACTAAAAAAATACTATTATCTAAAAATATGAAAATATGTTATTCTTCTAATTAAAAAATTACTCTCCTTGGGATGAATTAAAATTTAAAAATCTTAAATTACATTAATCTAATTGAATCGAAAGTTAAGTCTTAATATTTTAATTAAAATTTATTATTATTATTTGTTAATAATGATTAACTTCATAGAGAGTAGAGAGTTTAAAATGAAGATTTAGCGGTGTTTGTTTTGGTACGAAGACGATGGTGACAGCAGTGAGTTTCATTGAATGATGGCTTCGATCCAAAATCCTAACATTTAATACGACAGTGATAGCGGTGACAATGATGGCTTTGGCCTCGCTCTCAGGCCTTACATTTAATTTTGAGGGGCTAAATAATATTATTTTTTATAAAATTTTATCATACTTATTAATATCAATATATATATATATGTATAAAAAATATATTAATAAAAAATGAGTATATAAAATTATAAAAGAAATATATTATTATAATAAACGTTTTAAAAATAACATAATTTTTTAAATTAATAGTTGAATTACCAATTGTACAATCTTTCAATGATATATGAAATCATTTTTAGTTTTTTTATAGTTTAAATTTGAAAAAAAAAAAACAAATCAATATCTTTTTATTGAAATAAATTATGGACTGATCGTTTAAAAATTATAAAAACAAGAAAATAAATATCTTTTTAAAATGAAGAAAAATTTGAGATTAAAAATCATTGGTGTTTTTCTAACTTTTAAAGTGATACTAATATCATTTTTTTGTTTAAAAATATTGCAAAATCATATAAGATAAGATCTAGATTAATTAAATGTAAAATATGATAAAGACGAGAAAATTGTTATTAGGTACAAAAAAAAAGAAAAATACATCAACAGTCATGTGCTTGAAGAAAAACATACTTAATATTTGATTGGAGACTTAATATTGTTGAAAAAGCTGGAAAGCTTGAATCACATGATTGTGATTTAAAATAAAAATTTTTCATTTTAAAAATTTTAGAAAACTAATTAGTGGAAATAATAAAAAATAATAATAATGTGATTTTAACCCTTTTGAGTTGTAACGCACAAAATTAAATTGTGAAATCATAAAAAAATAAAAAAAATATTAATATTTTTAGTTCGAAGGAATCAATTTAAATTTTTTTAACCAAATATACATATATATATATCTATATATATATATATATAAAAGGATTTCCAACTTTTTTGGCATACACTACGTCCAACGTTGGACAACCACTTCGTGATCGACTAGATTTTGCATAAGTGGGTCCCCAAACCCTTTATTTTGGTTAACCAAAACCAAAGCCATGAGCATGACATCAATGGTGGATATTTATTGTTCTTCTAACTTGTACCATTGACGTCTGTCGTCAATTAGTGGTGGGACCATTGACAGCCTTCTCCGCAGAAACAGGAGTTGTACTCTTAATAGGAGCAGGAATTAATCCTTTTTCTCGGCATGTGTCTACAGCTCCTGTAAACATGTCCTCCAAACTGTACTTAAACTGGAAACCCAAGTCCAGCAACTTCTTGGAACTGAAGACTACGTTTTTCAAGTTTTCATCGGCATCTTTGAACCTGGGCACCAATATTTACATAATCAGCCAAGCAACCAAATATTGTAAACAATCCGAGGAAGTATGAGAATTTTCATGCCAAGTTTTTATACTGTTAGAAGTGGCTTACTTCGCAGGAACATTGTACTCTGGGTACTTTTCTCTGAGTAATTTGGCTAGTTCAGTAATGGTAGCAGCATGGGAGGAGCAAATGTATCGGCCCTCTGCTTTAGGATTTTCGAACAAGAATATATGAGCCATGCACAGATCATCCAAGTGAACAAACTGGCACTGCCTAATGATCGAGTAATGAGCTTCATTCCCTGCATTATGTTCTCAGAAATAATTATGTTAAACTCTACGGAAGAATTATTGTGTTATATCCTTAAAGAAGAAAAGGCATTGGCACAAGTACCGGTGATCAGTGAAAGGCCAGTTATCAGGCTGGGCGGCATTGATGGCGTAAGAAATGGACCAATAACAAGAGTAGGAATTATAGTGATGAAATCCATGTTATTCTCCTTAGCAAACTCCCAGGCAGCTTGCTCTGCCAATGTCTTGGAGACAAAATACATCTAGAAACCACAAAGAAAAGGTCTAAAGTTTTTTCCTTCTTTCTTTGAACGATTAAAGAAAAAAAATGAAAAATGAGCAACTAGGCGTGTTACTAACCCATCCAGTCATTTTCTTGGCGTAGACAAATTCCAAATTACTCCAGTTACTTTCATCATAAACGGGCTTCAGGTGTTCTTCACCATTGACAGTTCCAGCGGATGATGTGAACACCAACTTCCGAACTGTCTTTGCTTTGAGGCATGCTTCCATGATGTCCAAGACTCCATTTATTGTTGGCATTATCACTTCATTCTGCAAAGAACAGAAGTATTTGCAATTTGGAAAACATAGCAGCTATTTGCAGAATAGCCTTTGACGTATTGCATTGATGATTATTGATTAGAAAGGACAAAAATATTTATCATTACCTGACAAAAAGAATCCTGAAAATGAAATGATTTAAGTGTAAAGTATTTCCTATATTTAGCACCATATAGTTTAGGAAAACAAGTTTTGTTGGTCAACACATTTGTAAAGGAAGGATATCTAGATTTAATTAGTAATATATTTTTGACTAATTGCAACTAATAAAAGACCAAACCTCAGGGTCCTTGGACTCAAAATCCATGGGAGTGGCAACATGGAACACTCCGGAACAGCCTTCAATTGCTGCATCAAAGCTTCCTTCTTCAGATAAATCAGCTTTCCACAAAGTCAAGTGGGAATCGGCTTTAGGCAGCTCAAGCAAGTGCTTCACCTTCTTCACACTATCTGTTTAACAGAAAAAGAAAAATACTTCAGTCAGCAGACCAAAGATACAAATTAAAGTCAACAAGGATTATTTGGTAAATATCATGGTGAGAAGGGAAACGAACCAGGGTCACGGACGGTGGTTCTAACCGTATAACCATTCTCCAGGAGCCTCATGACGAGCCATGATCCAATAAACCCAGACGCTCCCGTGACACAAACGGTTTGAGATCCTGATCCCATGGCTTTCTTAAGATTGATAAATTTAACAAACTTAAATTGGTTTTTAGCTTAGCTATTCACCACTAATAGGAAGATAATAATTGGTAAAGTTTGGCGTTGGTAGCTTTTATAAGATTGGATATGCCTTGGCAAAACTGACAAAGATGGAAACAAAAAAAAGCCTTCATTCATTAGACTTCGAGCCATTGATGTTTAGTTCCATCTACCAATGCATGAACAGTGCAGTTAAACTCACGTGTCAACTGACCAAGTCGCATGTGCTTGATGTTAGGAAAATGAGGTCTATTCTCACGTAATTGTGTTTTGATCGATCAAAGATCATGGGTCTTAATTTTTTTTTTTTTACATAAAACTTTAGGTACTTAATAAAAAGAAAATTTGCATCACAATCTTAGAAAAGAAAAAGGGAAAAAAAGAAGTCAAGAAAATAGAAAAAAAAAGAGAGTTAATTGAATGAAAGTCGATTCGTGGTCTAATTAAGCTGAAATTTTATTAACAAATTTATGATTTAAAATTTTACATTCTGAACGGTAAAGATCGGATTTAAAGTTCTCTAACAATAAATCTATGGTATATTTGTTGAATCGCATATTTAATGAGCTTTTCTAATTGTTTCTTTAGTTATTAATTAACTCTAGTTTTAATTAGAAAAGAACTTTATATATCCATTATTTGATAGTAAAGATTCTTTTCTAATTGACCTATGATTTTTTCCTTTACACTAGAGAGTTTTTCACATAAATCTTGATGTACTTTATTTTTTCTGCGTCGTTGATTATTGATTATTATCTATTACTATAAGTTTATTGCAATATATTGTTTCTGTGTTATTGTATTTATTGCTTTAGGTCTAATAAGTGGTATAATTGTTAGGATATGGTTCGTATGTGAGTAAAGAATCTCACGTTATTAAAAATTTTGAATGAGACGTCCTATATATGCATGAAGGACCAAAGAACCTAATAGCTTAAGCTTTTGGGCTCAAGTTGTATCCAGCATGTATTTGTAGGCTTTTTAGTGTACTCTCATATGTTCTAAGTATGATTTATCTCTCTAACAAGTAGTATCAGAGCCGAAATTATAGGTTTGAATCCCAGTGGTATTGCTGAAGGAGAGATTATTGGCAGATCGGAGGTTGGTCGGGTTCATCAACTTCATATGCTTGAACGTCGGTATTAAAAATGTTGGACTTGAATGTAGCGAATATATAATAATATGTAGACTTGGAACACCCAAGTGGGCGATGTGTTGAGTTAACTTGGAGTGTAAGCTTGATGGAGCACTGAGACAAACTAAATGGTAAGGTTGAGTGTTGTGGCTTAGCCCAAAGCGCACTAAAGATGTGAGGTTGCTTTGCCCAAATGAGGTGTTGATAGGACTTACTCACACGGGAGAGCCAATGTGAGAGGTGAAACTTGACCATAACTCATAAGTAAAGTGTTTATAAGACTTACTCACACGAGAGAGCCGAGGTGAGAGGTGAAACTTGATCAGAACTCACAAGTGAATATGGAGAGATTATTGGGATATTATTCACATGTGAGTAAAAAATCTCATATCATTAAAAAATCTGAATAAGATGTCTTATATATGCATGAAGGACCCAAGAACATAATAACTTAAGTTTTGAGATTCAAGTGATGTCCAACATGTATGTATGAGCTCTCTGATATGCTCTAATGGGTTCTAAGTGTAATTTATCTCCCTCACACTTGATTGGTTGGTAGCAGCCTAATTGGTAGTCATTATCACATAATTAACCCTTTTTTTTTTTCAATCAAATTATATCTATCTGATTTTGTTTCAAATTATACATGGGTTACTCCAGTTGGTAAGAAAATGAGTTTATTTTTTATAAAACTTGTACAAAAGTTACCAAGTTGGCCTCAACAATAGTTTTCGACCAACTTAAATAGGCATTTTAAATCATGTTGAGTCAATGATTTCAACAATAAGAAGCTTTAATTGCACAGGCAATACTGATCCAAAACATCCATTTTCCTGGTAAAAATTCCAATTCAAAATTGTGTTAGTGGAGTGGTAGCTACCAATAATCAGGTCCCTGACTTTTTGATGCAATGTTAGGGCCTTTCTCCTTTCTCATCATTGCTTTCAGCAGCACCTTTGACTGTTTGGTAACTGCCGCCACTCGTCTCAGAACCACAATATTTTGTGGAATATGAACATGAGATAGGTTATAATTGGAAGGATAGAAACCCTTTCTCGTAACATTTAATTTGATTAATGTTTTCCAACAAATGAAACCCATTAAATTTGATAGTTCAGAAAGTGGGTCCTCGATTTCTAAGAAGTTTGCATACATAAGACAAATCACGAAGTTGCCCTTTTTATATGGTCGACCCCAAATTATTATACCAGGAAAGCTAATGCCTCATCTAAATCTTTATTTTTAACAACTCGAAATGGAAGACATGGCACCCATTGTTGATAGTTTTTCTTTTAGTTGATGTTGATCTTCTTCTCATTAGAAAGAGGAAGCAGTCCCTTTTCTCGGCATGTTTTGACAGCTCCTGTAAACATATCTGCCAAGCTGTATTTAAACTCAAATCCCAAGTCCATGAGCTTTTTTGAAGAGAATTCCACACTCTTCAAGTTCTCATTCAAATCTTTGAACCTGACCACAATTGTCACATCAGGTCATGAATCATAATTCTGGTAATTCTTGTAGAAACTTAAAATCATGCGCAATGAAATAATCCCAATCTTTACAAATTATGTTTACCAGGTCTTTGCTGAGTAAGAACTTACTTGGTAGGAACATTATATTCAGGGTACTTTTCTCTGAGCATTTTTGCAATATCAAGAATGGTAGCATGGTGAGAGGCGCAAATGTAGCGACCTTCTGCTTTAGGACTCTCGAACAGAAAGATATGAGCTCTGCACAAGTCGTCCAAATGAACAAATTGGCCTTGTTTTATGATCGAGTAATGAGCTTCATTCCCTGCATTAAGACAACTCCATCAGAGAATTATGGTAAAAATTTATGTGCATAATTAACTCGAGCAATGACCAACATGTTACAGAAGCTTGTACCAGTGATTGGAGATAGTGCATTTATGAGGCTTGGCGGCATCTATTGCGTAATAAATGGACCAACCACTAAAGGTGGAATTATGCTTACAAAATCGATGTTATTTTCTTTAGCAAACTTCCAGGCAGCTTGCTCTGCCATAGTGTTGGACACAAAATACATCTATACTACCAGGAAAAAAGATAAAAATTAGTGAAATTTTTTTCTTTTTTTTTTGCCTTGATTGTGTCTTCGATCGTTATGATTTGGAAAGTTAGAAGCATCTATACTAGACCAACCAGTCATTTTTTTGGCCTGGATAAATTCAAGATCGCTCCGACAGCTTTCATCGTACAAGGAATTTTGGTGTTCTGTAACATCAATAGTTCCTGCAGATGATGTGAACACCAACCTTCTAACAGTTTTGGCTTTGGCACATGCTTTCATGATGCTTAAAACTCCATTGATTGTTGGTTTTATGACTTCATTCTACAAAGCATAAAACAATTTATTCTATGTTTTATCGTTATGTAAAATATAGAATGATGAGAAAGAAGAACTTAATGTTGATTTCTTATCATCATTTATTAGACATTAGGGTATATTCTTACTTTTTTAGATAAAAAATAGAATATAATAACGCATCAGCATTTTTTTTTTTTTACATTTGTTAACATGAATTTTGCCATTATACTTTTATTTTTCGGACGAAAGTTAATGAAAGAATAATATTTCATAAACTATTCTCTTAATATATTTAAAATAATTAATTTTGAATAAAACATAAAATATGAACAGGATAATTCACATGTAATATAAATATACATATGACGACGTACCATATTAGAAGTTATTATATATTTTTTATAAAATCTTATATTGAAATAAATATTTTTCAAATTTATCCTTTACCCCTAAAAGAACGGAAACTATATATATATATATATATATATATATATATAGTTTCCATTCCCTCTCTTTGTTTAAACCTACTCATATGTGACCAAAAAGCAAAAATCAAAATTAAAATTGATTTTAAGTCTGCTTTCATTCTTGACTTTAAGGTACAATTTTATGTTTTTATTTCGGTCATTTCTGTTTAGTGCTTACCATAAATGGAAAATATTTAGCTTTTCATCTTTGGTTAGAACTTAGAACCCTAAAACCCACATTTTTTAACATGTTCATATAATTCAAGCTAATAGATGCTAAAGAATTTTTTTTTTTATATTAATACCTCAGGATCCTTTGACTAAAAATTCATAGGTGTGGCGACATGAAACACACCCTTACAACCTTCAATTGCATTATCAAAGCTTCCCTCTTCACTTCAATTTGCCTTCTATAGAGTCAGCGTTGTCTTAGCTTTTGGTAGCTCTAATAAATGCAATACTACTAAATTATACTATTACAGGATTTTATTTTTTTATTTTTTAAAGAATAAAAAAATGCTTAAATCGTGAGTCAACGATCATGGATGATGATGACAAGAAAGTGACAAAAAAAAAAGGGCCCAACCAGGGTCGCGCAGAGTGGAACGTACAACATAACCACGTTCTAAATGCAGCATGATAAGCCATGATCCGATGAACCCAGACGCGCCTGCCACGCGTACGTTCTCGCCTTCTGATCCCATTTCTTTTGTCTTTCTATTGGGTTTCAGTCAAAGAGAAGGACAAAACATAGTACGTAATAACTTAATACCACAATATTCCTATCAGAATTTTAGGTTTTGGCCATGATTTTAATATACGACGCTGTAGTTTCTTTCTATCTAACACATGGATCTCGTCACGTGGTAGGCTGTCCGTTTTGCACGTTAGTAGTTGGTTCAACCATTGCCTGCTCCTATCCAATTTCACTAGACTTCTGTGTGGAGTTTTTAGTGTAAAAACGTACAAGAACTGGGAACAAAAATGTTCTTCCCAAAACGTTTATGCGGTGCTTCTTCGACATCAGTTTCAATCCAACACGGGGTAGGTTGCGCACATTCTTTCTTTGGAATTTGATATGTGCCTTGTGGAATTGGGAGAAGAATGTTAATAGATAAGGTACGAAGAGAGCAAAATATTTTTTATTTTTATTCTTGATTTTTTATATTTTATTTATTTTTTATATTTATATTAAATACATATTTTAAATTTATTTTTATTTTTATTTTTGGATATTTAATAAATATGAATATTTATATATATATATATTTTTGTTAAAATAAAAAATTTTTTTTAACTTTTTTATTTTTATTTTGTATATTTAACTAATTTTTTTATTAATATATATTTTTTCAATAAAAATATATTGATTTTAATTAATTTAAAATAATAATTTATATTATTTAATAAAAATATATTTATTAAATATATATATATGTAATGTATGATACAAGACGAGTGTTATATTACTTGTTTTCATTCTTATACTCAATAAAAATTTAAAATTATATTTATTCAATTTCTCGTATGTAAACTATAATACTCATTTTTATTTTTATTAAGATAAAAAATCAGATTTTACAATAAATATGAATAAAATTGACATAGTAAAGTGGGATAAGCCGTAGCACAGCTTCCAGTCTACCATCACTAAAAATGACTTGATGGTTACCAATTTGTAGTGTTATTGTTAAATTAATACTATTCTAATTTCTACAATTTTTAGTTGTGTCAAAAGTAATTATTCAGTAATATGGGTCTCATCAAGATCAAGTATTTAGGTCTCATCAAGGCACCTCAACTGTCGACATCATTACTAAGAGTCTCACAGCAAGGGATATCAGAAGGGTACAATTGTGGGCTGGGAAGGGTGTCAGTAACACAGCAGGAAATTGAGAAAGAAAATTTGTCATGGTGTTAGAACAGTAAAGTTTGCATACTAATTTGATGAACCAACTTATTTTGTTCTGTAAGCTACATTCTTTTGCAGTACTAAATGAATTCATGAAGACATAAATAAAGAAAATGGCGTTTGAGTCGATTTGAAAATTGCGTAGCACCTTTCCTATTTTTTACATATACAAAGCATTACTCCTATATTTTCAATGCAAAACAGCAGAAGGCAGCAGGTCAGGGCTCTCAGCTTTCCTTCACGGGCCCAATCGAACAGAGCAGCCTATGGAAGAAATCAAAATTTTATATAACGGTTCCATCTTTTATCGTTGCATTCTTCATTATGACTGTGATCCCAGACCTAATGTAAAAACCATCTTCTGGTCTCTCAGCTTCTTGAACAGCCTGAGTGGTCAAAGCGGATTAAAATTATCAAGTGAAAAAGCATTCTACATGTCTCCAAGTAAATTATAAAGAAAAGAAAATTCTAGATATACCAGACATCCATAGCAAGGAAAGCAATACTTACATCACTATTTGATAAAATCACATCTTTTCCTATCTTGGCATTCTTGTCAATTATGCAATTCCTTCCAAAACACAAGAGCAAGATGGAGATGATCGATTAGAACATTTTAGAGAGAAAAAAAAATAGATGCTGTTGGTAACAGGCGGTTTTTCAATCTAAATCTTACTTGATTGTTGTATTTTGTCCAACACCAATGGGAACCTTTCCTTCTGCTAGCAGAGATGCCATTTTCGACTCAGTTTGGTAGTAGTCTGCCCCCATCATCATGGTATCCTGCAAAGGAACCATAACGAAGATAAATTGTAAAACTTTTAGATAAAATTAAAAATAAACACCTCTGAAAGAAGTTTGTTATAAAATAAAGACTAACAGTGGCCACTTGTATTTTTGATTCAGAGCGAGTAATTATTATCGTCTTATTGCTTCTGCCCGCTGGTTGACTGGTTAATCATGTGATTTGCTCGGATATGTTCACCACTTCTTATGCATCTTGGAACTTTTGAGATGCATAAGAGGTTGCACCAAAAAAATCTTAAATTAATTGCTACAACCATTCAGGACTGTTGAGGCAACAGGAAATATCTCCATATTTAATCTCCATAATTTGCCTCTTGTGGTGCCAAGTAAATTGTCTAGGATCTTCTCAAGTGTAGTCAATGGCATCACTAACTCTAAATTGTTCAATTAGTGATGGGCCGGAGTGACTTAAAAAAGTATAGGACCAGAAAGTGAGTCCTGCTTCTAAAATGCAGTTTATCATAAAAAAGAGGTACTATAAGCCCTTGTTAGATACTTTTCTATGGGAAGTAGAAGATGTTGAATCACCTTAAGCTCAACGCCAGACTCCAGACGCAAGAGTATTGTATACTACATTCTCGCAAGAAACAACCATGTGAAATTATGGCATCAACAATTTGCAACAACCAATTAGCCACGAAATAAGATAAGCAAATTTTTAATCACAACATAAACTAAAGCTTAAAGTCATACCTTGCATTTATCAACTTTGGTAGGAGGCAAGAATCTTGGAGATGTATAGAAAGGTGTCTTTGGATCATAAAATTCAAACTTTGGTGGCTGCATGGAAAACACAAAACGTTCAGTTTTCGGGAAATGTATACCAAATGCCATGTTTAGGCTTGTGAGTGGTACATGGGTGGGATGCCATGTTTAGGCTTGTGAGTGGTACATGTAAGAGATTCAATTTGGAAATATTGCAGTGAAATGATTAGGAAAACAAGTTTTGTTGGTCAACACTTTTGTAAAGGAAGGATATCTAGATTTAATTAGTAATATATTTTTGAATAATTGCAACTGATAAGAGACCAAACCTCAGGGTCCTTGGACTCAAAATCCATTGGCGTGGCAACATGGAACACTCCGGAGCAGCCTTCAATTGCTGCATCAAAGCTTCCTTCTTCAGATAAATCAGCCTTCCACAAAGTCAAGTTGGAATCGGCTTTAGGCAGCTCAAGCAAGTGCTTCACCTTCTTTACATTATCTGTTTGACAGAAAAAGAAAAATACTTCAGCCAGCAGACCAAAGATACAAATTAAAGTCAACAATGATTATTTGGTAAACATCATGGTGAGAAGGGAAACGAACCAGGATCACGGACGCTGACTCTAACCGTATAACCATTCTCCAGGAGCCTCATGACGAGCCACGATCAAATAAACCCAGACGCTCCCGTGACACAAACGGTTTGGGATCATGATCCCATGGCTTTCTTAAGATTGATAAATTTGACAAAAGTATGACGTTGGTAGCTTTTATAAGATTGGACCTGCCTTAGCAAAACTGACAAAAACGGAAACAGAAAAAAGGCTTCAATAATTCTATTTCGAGCCATTGATGTTTACTTCCATCTAACGGTGCACTAACAGAGTAGTTAAACTCACTTGTCAACTGACTAATTCGCTTGTTTGCTTTGAAGAACAGAACAAATTAACTTTCCATTCATTCGATTTTATGGCATCTTCAAACTAACAAAGCTTCAATGGCTGTGCAACATGTGAAAAATTGAACTTAAATCTCTTTCCAGCATTATTGGATTAACCCATTTCAACTAAGTCGGGATTCTAGATGAGCTAAATTCCTGCCTGGCTTGGAATTTCGTGCTGCCTATACAAATTATCATTTTCACTTGATTTAAATTCTACTTATGACCCACTAAGATTCAAATTTCCAAACTTTAGATTTGTAAGAATTGCCATAAAATCAGGTTCTCCGTTAAGTATAAATAAAATTGATATCCCTTCTTTTTTCTCATCTTTGCTTTCAGCAGCACTTTTGACTCTTTGGTAATTGCATCTGACCAGAATTGCTCATTTTTTATCAAAAGCTTGTAATTTAATTTTTGAAGCAGCAACTGGGCGAAAACAATTCTTAATTGTTGGTGCAAAGAATAAACAACTAATTTAGTGGTGCGGACTGCAATAAGGGCTCGGTGTCATTATGTAATTAAAAAATGGTTCAGTGATATGTTAACAAATTGGCTTACTACATAAACAAAGCTTCATAAGATCAGGGACTTGAGAACAGAACAAAAGATGAGGAGACTCGATCATCTTCTGAAAAGAGATGTAACTATATCGAAGAGACAATTATCTCATAACCACAATATTAAGGTTATAATTAGAAGCGTAAAAACCCTTTCTCAGTGACGTTTAATTTGATTAATGTTTTTCAACAAACGAAACCCCATTAAATTTGATAGTTCAGAACTTGGGTACTCGATTTCTAACAAGTTTGAATACATTGATTGTCGGTTTCATGACTTCATTCTACAAAGCATAAAACAATTTATTCTATGTTTTATCGTTATGTAAAACATAGAATGATGAGAAAGAAGAACTTGATGTTGACATTACTGCCAATTGGTGAAGTTTTCAAACTTAGAGGAGTTGCCATATTTTCATTTGATATTATAATTTTTAAACAAAAAATATAATATAATAACGCATCAGCATCTTCTTTTTTTATTTGTTAGCATGAATTTTGCCATTATACTTTTATTTTTGGACGAAAGTTAATAAAAGAATAATATTTCATAAATATTCTCTTAATATATTTACAATAATTAATTTTGAGTAAAACATAAAATATGAAATATATATATATATATATATGACGTACCATATTAGAAGTTATTATTATTTTTTTTATAAAAATCCTATTTTCAAATAAATATTTTCAAAATTATCTTTTATCCCTAGAAGAATGGAAATATATATAGTTTCCATTCCCTCTCTTCGTTTAAACTTATTCATATTTAACCAAAAAGCAAACATCAAAATAAAAATTGATTAAAGTCTGCTTTCATTCTTGATTTTAAGCTACAATTTTAAATTCTTATTCCGATCATTTCTGCTTAATGCTTATCATAAATGAAAAATATTTAGCTTTTCATCTTTGGCTTAGAACTTAACCCTAAAACCCACGTTTTAGAAGAGTTTCATCTAATTCAAGCTAATAAACGCTAAAGATTTTTTCTATATTAATATCTCAGGATCTTTGGACTCAAAATCCATGGATATGGCGACATAAAACACATTCCGACAACCTTCGATTGCATCATCAAAGTTTCCCTCTTCATTTAAGTCTGCCATTCATAGATTCAGCTGCGTCTTAGCTTTCGGTAACTCCAATAAATGCTTTACCTTCTCCAAATTGTCTGTTCCGTTAATAAATAAAAATAATAATATTAATTAAAATACTACGAAATTATATTACCACAGGTTTTTATTTTTTTATTTTTTAAAAAATAAAAAATTGCTTTAAGTCATGAGCCAGCAATCATTGCTGATGACGATGACAACAAAGAGACAAAAAAAAAAATGGACCAACCATGGTCACGCAAAGTGGCTTGTACAACTAGCCACGGTCTAAAAGCAGATGATAAGCCATGATCCAATGAACCAAGTCAACCTGTAATGGATAGACCCTGGTGAACCTTGGTTTTGCCATGACTAACCTTAAGATGAGCAACAAACGAGGTCTTGTGATTGAGATAGTAGTTCTAGCGTAGTTGGTGATACCGTGAGCTCTAGTCTCGAGATGTACAAGCAAGTGCAAACAGTGAGTGGGGTAACTATTCGGGTGCTTTCGGTTGAAATTACGTGTGAGTGCCCTTAGGTGGGTTACTAGAGTGACGAGTAATATCTTAGAATCATTGAAGCTAAGAGGTAGGTCATTGAATCTTGAGTTGATTGAAAAGAGTTATGAATTGATCGAAGAGAGTTTTAAGATGGTTAAGGAAAAAAAATGTGTCTATTTCATATTTTTCTGATTCTTGACAGCATAGTTATAAAAGTTTTTACGTTTTTTATAGGAAAACATTTAATGTTAGCTTTCTACCGTCATCTTGACCAGTCTAGCAAGTGGGGTTTTAGCTAGCCCGAAATAAGTTATTTCGAAAAACATGTAATGTCTATATGAGCAAGCATTGTCAGATTATAAGGGTGGCATGATATTTTCTTAGATTATTGTAAATTCGGAGACGAATGGGGTTGATGAGTCTCATATCGTATTTTTGTATTAAATTATGAGGTTAAATGATAATATTTGTTATATTTTTTGATTTTTTTTTCTTGAATCAAATTGATAAGTAATGAAGGATCATAAAATAATGGTTGCACAAGAAAGATAACATCGAGCCTAAGAGATAAGTGGTCTAGCAAGTAGTCACGATGCTAAACCCTTGTAACCATTCAATAGAGGTGTGTTATGGCTTGGGTAGCACACTCGAGTACCTCTAGGTGGGATGGGCATAATGTCGAGTGTCCATCATACGTGCAGATAGCCTAAAGTGAGGCTAAGGGCTAAAGCTCTAAGATAGAAATTTCGTGGCAATAAGTTAAGCCTAGAGTGGCTTCGAGTTAGTTGTTGACTAGCATTTGTGTTGTGCCTTAATATTTTAGGCACAAAGCTAGCAAAAGATCCAGATAGGCATGATGTTAGGTTCTTACTATGCTAGTTTAAGATACTAAGACAAGAACCAAGATTGCGCACCTTTATGAGCCTTAATGGATCAATACTCGGGACCTTGATACCTGCAAGTAAGGATGAGTGCTCGAGGCCACCCTAAAAACTTATGGTCGATGATATGATGGGAGTGGGTTCCTCCTTTAACAAGTTTGGGAATGTTGCGAGAAACCATACAGGGTCCGAGCCAAAAAGGCTCACGTGAATGTTGCTTGAAAGATTGGTAACAAGTTGTCTATGAGGAAATAAACTTGAGAAAGGCTAACCTCAACAATGAGTAATCTTGGTGCTACATGGTTGCTTGGTTTTGGTATAAAGAATGCATGGTCTATAATGGTTGGTATCAAATTCTGGTTTGGCTTAGCTGTGGGATTAAAGCAGCCCTAGGTGTAGGCATGATAACAATAAATTAAGGGAATGTTTAGTTTAAAATGAGCTATAAAGACAAAGATACGGATATCGTGGCTATATGGGCTCAAGAATGAGTAAAAAATACGTGTTGTGGAAAAATTGGCCTTGGTGCAAGACCTTTAAAAAGGCTCTTAGATGCCAAACAAAAAGTCACGTGAGTCTAGCCTTACCTGGCAAATGATGTTGGCTCATGCAAGCATGTGATGCCCTTCGAATGGTGGACAATAGATAAGATTGAAATGTGAAAAGTGCTATACCATAAATTAGTGTTGAATGAGGCCATGGGGCCAAACGAGTTTTGTCTTAAAAGACATGAGTCATGTGTATTAAGAATATGTTACTAACATGTGCATTGTTATATGCTGTAGGTGCCTTAACAAGGGTACGAGACGAGTTTAAGTTGGTTTATGATCGAAGCATAAAGTTTGTGATGGTCGATTGACTATAAGTTCTGATAGTCAAAAGACCATGAGATTATGCTGGTCAATAGACTATGTTTGTATTGGCTGAGAGCAAAGGCCTTACAAGTTGTGTTGGTTAGTGAACCATGATGGTGTGTAGTTCAATGAAACAAACCAATAAGACATGGCCAATGAGTGATGCCATATGAGTTGTGTAGGTTAGAGGACCGATTAAGTTGAACAAGCTGATAAATTTGGCATAACAAGTTACATATAGTCAATGGGCTAGATGAGTTGAGCAAGGCAGAGATAAGCCACATATAGGACATTTTGAGTATGAAAGCTGGTGGTACTAGCCATAGTTGTTAATTTTATTTTGGTACCAATCGTACTAACTAATATGCTCTAATTATACCAAAATACAGTACATTTAAGAATAATTTTTCATACCAAATTTAGTACCAGGCAATATCGGTTGTTTTCATTAGTTTTGATATGTTTCGGTGAATTTCAGTGAAATAACATGTTTCGACTGGTGCGTGAAT